AACTAGATCATGGTGATGCTTGTACACCATCGTGAATATGCCAAATGCCACTGAATTGTACACTTTAAAACGATTAAAATGGTGAATTTTATGTTATGTGAGTTTTCCCAGTACAAATAAAGTGGTACTTGGCACTCCTGGGGCTGTAACATAACCATTTAAATGAAGTTTATGATGAGATTTTTTCCTAACATGGAAAACACTTATGTTACAATGTTAAGTGAAAAAAGAAGGGGACTACATTTTCCATATAATATGATCTCAGTCACATAGAAAAAAGCGAATCCTGTGCACAGAACAAAAAAGAAGTCAGAAGAAATATACCAAAATGTTAACGGTGGTTGTCTCTGTGTGGCGGGACTCTCTAGCTGACTTTATTCTCATCTTTTTACTTTCTAATACTTTCCATTTTTTCTTTTTTAAAAAATGTACAGTATCACTTTTATAATGGAAAAAACACCTATTTTTTTAAAAAGTAGGGAAAAGAATAAATGTAATTTCCAATAAAAGGAAACAGCAGATAGAGGCGAAGAGACACAGAGGACCAAAACAAGAGGGAACACTCTTCAGGGGAGCAATCGTGCAATGTGGACTTGAAAATGGCCAGGGAACAGATGGCAGCATCCAAGCAGACATCTGCAATGGGTAGCGAAATCATATGCAAAGACACAGGTGGCCTTTGAAGCAGGCCCTTGAGAGGCCCAGCAGAGAATGCTGCTTGCCTGGCCAGACAGGAGGGCAAAGCCCCTTTCCACCTCGTCACAGCTCAGCCTCCTGGAGGTTGCAGTAAGGGCTCAGTGCAAAAGAGGTGTTGGGAGAAGAAAGAGGCTTCTTTTTTTTTTTTTTTTTTTTTTTTTTTTTTTTTTTTTTTTTTTTTTTTTTTGGTGGCTGGCCTGTACCCATTACCTTGGTGCAACCCCAAAAGAGTCTTCTAATAATGATACTGGCAAACATCGCAGCTAACGTTTACATGGGGCCTCACAGTTTATAAACATTCTCACATACATAGCCTAAATGTTAATTGTTATCACATCATCTTTTATAACTGCCCTGCAAGGTAGGTAATTATTATTCCCATCTTATCATGGAAGAACAAGGCACAGAGAAGTGATGGGAGTTCATTTATCTACGATTTATGTAGTGCTCACTCTGTCCTGAGAACTTTCACATGCGTTAATTGCCCTTGTTCACACAGCTAGTTAGGGGCAGAACTGGGATTCAAATCTGGCTTTTCATCATGAATATGACCCCAAAAGCACGGGCAACCAAAGGAAAAATAAACAAATGGGACTATATCAAACTAAAAAGCTTCTGCACAGCAAAAGAAACAATTAACAGAGCTAAAAGACAGCCAACAGAGTGGGAGAAAATATTTGCAAAATACACATCTAACAAAGGACTAATATCCAGAATATATAAAGAACTCAAACAACTTTACAAGAAAAAAACAAGCAACCCAATCAAAAAATGGGCAAAAGAGCTAAGCAGGCATTTCTCTAAAGAAGATATACAAAAGGCCAACAGTCATATGAAAAAATGCTCAACATCACTCAGCATCCAGGAAATGCAAATCAAAACCACACTGAGATACCATCTCACCCCAGTTAGGATGGCAAAAATCCAAAAGACACCGAAAGATAAATGCTGGCATGGCTGCGGAGAAAAAGGAACTCTCTTACACTGTTGGTGGGAATGCACAATGGTGCAACCCCTATGGAAAATGGTTTGGAGGTTCCTCAAACAATTGAAGATAGATCTACCATATGACCAGCTATCCCACTGCTGGGAATATATCCAAAGGAATGGAAATCATCAAGTCGAAGGTACACTTGTTTCCCAATGTTCATTGCAGCACTCTTCACAATAGCCAAGAGCTGGAATCAACCCAAATGTCCATCATCGGATGAGTGGATACAGAAAATGTGGTATATCTACGAGGAAGATATAACAACCACAATTTTTTTTGAAGTTCTTACAACAAGAAAATGGAGGGGACACACCTGGGTGGGAGGGGGGAGAGGGAGGAGGGAGGGAGGTTTCAGTGATGGGACACAATAATCAACTACATTGTATATTGACAAAATAAAAATAATAATAATAAAAAAGCCTTGTTGGAATAAAAAAAATAAATAAAAAAAATAAATAAATAAAACAAATCTGTCTTTTCAGACTCTACTACACCACACTGCTCATGCCTAAGCAGAATTTACCTCTGTCTACTGAAGCTCAAGTAAAAACACATGTGTTCCTATCGATTGATATCTATCTAACTATCATGTATGTATCATCTAATTTATCTATCTATTTTTATTTATCATCTATCTCTAGTTGTCTATTTATCATGTATCTACCTATCTTTATTTTTCTGATTATAAATGTAATACTGATTGTTTTAAAAATGCAATTATTACTGAAGTGAATAATTTAGAAAGTAAAAAATCCCCCTAAAGCTCACACCTAAAAATGATCATTCTTAACTGTTTGATGTGTGTTCTCCAGACTTTTTTCCATGTTTATGCTAACACATATTTTTTCTTTTATTTTTTAATTGGATAATACTCTATCTACACTTATGTAACTCCCATTTCACATAATAATGAGCCTTGCGAATCTCTCCATGACAGTATAGGCCTACTTTGTTTTAATTTTCCATTGTATAGAGGTAGCAATTTTCCTAACTAGCCACTGATTGATAGACATACAGGTTTTCAATTGTTCTTTATTACAAGCAATGCTGAAGTAAATATCCTTGTATTTACATCTTCGTATATATGAATATTTGTCTAGAATAATTTGATAGAAATGGAATTTCTGGGTCAAAAGTATATACACAATTATACATAATTAAAATTGTCATAGATATTGGCAAATTGCCCTTCAGAAAAACTACTACTTAATTGGCACTCCCACCAGCAGCTTGCAAAAGTGACTCATATCTCCACAGGCTTGTCAACTCTGGGTATTCTCAGTCTTCTAAAATTTTACCAATCTAGTAGGCAAAAATGTTATCTAATTATTGTTTTAATTTGTGCTTATAAATAGTGAGGTGGCATCTCTTTATATTTTTGGCCTTTATATTTCTGATTTTGTAAATGGCTCGTTCCTGTCCTTTGGCAACAGGTTTTATAGTAATATAGTACACAGAAGAGAGGCCCTTGTAGAACATATGAGATTATGACACACTCTTTTTGAAGGGACAAGTAAGCCATGGAGATTTATGCTCACCATAAAACCAGTTCTTAAATGTATTTGACATCATTTTGGAGGCTGAATAGAAAAGCAATGTTAACCAACAATAATCGAGACTTGGGTTTCACAGCAATTATTATCTTGTGGGATTAACTCTTGATTTATTAGCCACATGAAATATGATAATATAATCACATAAGCCAGGGACCGAAATAAGCATTTGCTCATCTACCATGGACAGTTTGGAAATAACTCCCTGGCAGGTAGATAGTATGAACTCCCACACGTGAGAGTGTGTGTGTGTGTGTGTGTGTGTGTGCGCGCGCACAGGTGGGTGTGTGTGTGAGTGTGTGTGTTATCAGGCATGTGCATGTGCTTGTTTGCTTTTGGAGGATGTTCAGTAGAGGAATGGAGGGAGCGAATATGGTATGTCCAGAGAACATCTGGAAGCTTTCACTTGGGGGCATCTTCCAGAAGCAGGGAAATGGTTATTTCCTGTCAGCCTCTGTAGTGTGCTGCTATGGCTGTCACTGTTTTAGAGTGGTGGTCCCAACTTACAACCTTAATTCAGGAAGGGGTTACAATTTCATTCTGCCATAAAGGTATTTTTGGCTTGTCTTGGGCTGTATTGGGACTGAAACTAGGTTGACATTAGGCAATCCTCAGGTATTTGCCCAGCGGCCTGGGGATATGAGGATTATAGTGGTGATAGTATCACCATTCATCAATAGCTTCCTGTGAATCAAAGAGCATACCCAATTTAAAGTTTCATAGATACTGCCAAATTGCCTGCCAAAGGACTGTACCCATGGACATGTCCTTCAGCAATGTTTGAGAGTGCTTTGCATACATTGTTTCATTAATCTTCAAACAATCTTGGAAGTCATTAGGTACGGGATATTATCTGGCATATACTATAATGTGAATGGCGGGCCCTAGAGCTAGTAGACATAGAACATTGTGGCCCCAAATCCCCATTTTACTGAAGTAAACTTTGAGGCATCAGGAGGTTAAATTACTTGCTCAAAGTTATACAGCTGATGAGCATCAAAGTTGGGATTCCAACCCAGGTTCTCTGACTCCAGAGCCATTGGTAAATGTGACCATGGCCATCCAGAGTGTCCTAAGGCCACTGCAGCCCCCTCAGTGGAGGACATGGAAGGAGGACATCAGGATGCACTCAGGGCAGTGCTACCTCTTCCGCTGCTGAGCACCAACAGGAGCCCCAGGGCTTCCATATTGTCTAGCTGGTCATCTTTCAGGCCTTCGTCAGTGCCTTTCAGTGAGAAGCAGTCTCCAGAGACAGAATAAATCACGTAATTTGGCTCAGAAAAAGGCATTGGAAAAACAAATTGCTGCTGCCCCATGAATATAATAAGGCAGTTAGGTGGATGGAAATAGTTCTGTTGATTATATGAGTGAGGATTATGTATAGCATATTTGAATTCCAAGCTGCCTTTCCCTTGACCTCTTCCCTCCCATCCCCCCAACTAGCCACACACTTCTAACTGCCTCTCCAAATTGTCCAGCTGCTGTGTGCTCTGGGAACACTAATCTAACTTTTCATATTGGCCCAGGCAAAATATAATTAGAAGAAACTCTTCCGCCAAAAAAAAAAAAAACAATCACATGCCAATGTCAAATAGAGATGATTTTTGTATATCCACTATTTTTGCTTATTTGTACCAGTATTGACTCATACTTATATTGTATAATCTGGATTGGACTATATTACCAAAGAAGATGATTTCAAAATATTTTTAACCAAAATTTCATTTGTTTTCTCTTTTCCCTTTCTCAAATTTGGACAGTTACATTTTCACTAAAAGGAAAGAAGCTGGATTTTTATGGAACGGGTGACACATATGTACATTTGACCAACACCATTCCTGAACTCAGCCGATTCACAACATGCATTGATCTGGTATTTGTGGATAACAATTCAAGTTATTGGATGTCCTTCTCCTATATTACTAATAACACCGTGGGCAGAGAAGACTTAGACCTTGGACTTGCAGGAGACCATCAGCAGCTCATACTATATAAATTGGGCAAGACCTTTTATATCAGTTACTACCTGACTCCATTCCAATGGCATACAATATGCTTAATATGGGATGGTGTGAAGGGCAGATTAGAGCTCTTCCTGAATAAAGAAAGTATATTGGCAGTAATGGATCAACTACAAAACCTGACACCTAATGGGACCTTAGTCCTAGGGCACTTTCTCCAGAATGGGGACAGCCTGGTTAAAAGCATGGTGCCTAGCTTTGTCAGTAGCTTGTACTACTTCCAACTCTGGGACCACATCCTGGAAAATGAGGAGTTTATGAAGTGTTTAGATGGAGATGTAGTTAGTTGGGAAGAAGATGTTTGGCTCATCAACAGGATCATCCCAACTGTTGACAGGAGACTGCGCTGCCATGAGTAACTTATGAATTTTCCTCCTTAGGAAAGCTATCGCTGATGCAGTACTCCTCTGATTGCTGCTCCGAGTAATCGACTCCTACACTAAGGCTCTTTCTTCCTCCGAGGGGCCCAAGGTTGCCAAAAATTTGTCATCTACTTTTTAATGTAGAGAAAATACTGTTTTCTTTTACCTTTTATTTTGATATAATTTCAAGTTTATAGAATAAATTGCAATAATAGGATCACAGAACTCATATACACTTTACCCAGATTCACCAATGGTTAGCACTTTCCCATATGCTTTATCATTCTCCTTATCTCAGTCTCTCTCTTCTCTCCTCCTCCCCCTCCCTACACACACACACACACACACAGAGAGAGAGAGAGAGAGAGAGAGAGAGAGAGAGAGAGAGAGAGGCATGCAACTTATTTGTTTCTGAATCGTTTGAGAGTAAGTTGCAGGCATGATTTCTTGTTACTCCTAAATATCTTAGTGTGTGTTTCTTAAGATTAAGGAATTCTCTTACTTAATCACAGTATAATGATCAAAATTAGAAAATTTAACATTGATACAATATTAATATCTAAGTCACAGTTCATATTAAAATTTAGCCAACTTTCCTAATAATTTCCTGTATAGCTGTTTTTTGCTTGGTCCAGGATCCAATTCAGGTTCACACATTGCATTTAGTTATCACGTCTTTTTAGACTCTAATCTGGAACAGATCCTCCGTTTTATCTTTCATAACCTAGATATTTTTAGCATACAGTTCAGTTATTTTGTAGAACATCCCTCACTTAGGATGTGTCTACTATTTTCTCATTATTAAGCTCAAGCTATGCATTTGTTGGTGACAATACCGCAGAAGTGATGTTGTGTTCTTCATCAGTAGGCACGTGGTACCAAATTTTCCCATTACCTGTGATGGTAACTTTGATCACTTGATTCTGGTGATGTCTGCCAGATTTCTCCATTGCAAAGTAAATATTTTTTCTTTCATAATTATCAAGTTCTGGCCATATATTTAGAGGTTATGTAAATATTTTCTTCTTATCAAATTTTCACTTAACAGTTTTACATATATTGGTGATTCTTGTCTAAATCACTAATTACTATGATGGTCGCAAAATGATGATTTTAAAAACTCCATTATCTATCTACATTTATGAGTTGGCATCCTACTGTAAGAAAGAGCTTTTTCTCCTTCCACATTTACTTATTCATTCATTCATTTATTTATATGTTCATATGAGCATGAACTAATGGATACTCATTTTATTCAGTGGGTTACAATCTGTTACTATCATTTATTTTGATTTTTGACTTGGACCAGATTTGGCCATTGAGAGCCCTTCAGTGTGGCTTCTGTGTCCTTTTGACATGTTCCCATCATTCTTTGAGCATTTCCTTATTTTCTGGCACAACAAGATGTTCCAGGCCCATCTTGTACATTTTCTGCTCAGCCTGAGAATCAGCCATTTTACCAAGGAGCCCTGGTTCTTTTTAGTGGAGGATGGGAACTTACACACCCATTCATTTTTCTTGTGAGAACAATGATGATATTGGAGAACTGTTTGGAATGGATGGCTTTTTAGAGTTACACATGTATTTTTCTCCTTCTCTCTAGTTTTGAGAAGGAAATATAGGATTGTTTTTCTCTGTACAATCCTACTCTTCCCTCAAATCCAATCCTCTCTACCACCAGCAGCAGTAGTTCTGAAGCATGGGTAGTCAGTGATAATAGCATCAAAATAGCATTTTTTTTCTAATTTCCTTTCTTTTCTTTTTAAAAATTAATATTATTTTACATTCTATGATGTTGTTGCAGAGCAGTTGGGAGGGAGGAGGAGAGGGGAAAGGGGAAGGAAATGGGATGGAAGATGGAAGAAGGAGGAGGGGTGGGATTGAGGTCTGTGGCACCCCCCTCATTCCCACAGGGGAGACCAGTGGGCTTCCAGCAGTGGCTTGGTCATTGCCAGGCTGGGCGAAGATGTCAGGGGTGTGTGGCAAAAGCCCTCGTCCCCCACCACTCCAGCTCGGGGGATCCCAGAGTACTTCCTGTGGCAGCTCAGTGGTTGTCGCTGGGCTGGTTGCAGGTGTCAGGGGGCCTGCCTGAGGTCCCCAGCCCTCCCCCCTTTCAAAATAGCATTTTTTTCTAATTTCCTGAAATGTTCATATATTCTTAGAGGGGTATTATTTACTGTTCTTATGGATTTGGGAAGGGTGGTTAGGGAGTGAACAGGGGCTAGATCTATGCCTGAGAGGGTTGTCACAGATTCCAGGGATAAGATTTTACCAACAATGTGCATGCTGAGTTAATGGAAGAGGCACATTCCAGGGGAATTTTGTTTTTTTGAGATCAGACCAATTCAAAAGAACAGGAAAACTATTCCTTTGTGCTACCACCTGAAGACATTTGTTTTTCTCCTTTCTGAGGTCTTGGGAATAGTCCTATCTGGCTCTGATTACAAAACTGAGCTAGGCACTAGAAGGTTAAGCCTGAACAGCTCACCCAAAGTGGTTTAAAGTCATTTTAACTTTGATACAAGGAACCGTAAGTACGGCTCTATTAAACCCATATGCTTAGCAATGGTCTTTGAAAACCTAATCTGGTTGGCTAACAGCCATGGCCTTTCCTACCACTTTGCTGGTAAGTAGTTAAATCTAACTAATGTGTTAAAGTGCTAGACAGTTCTCATTTATTTTTCTCTTTTGTACACTTTTTAATGTACAGTCCGTTCTCTTGGTCTGATTGAGTCCTGGTGGGCATAATGCATAAATAATCCAACACAGCAAACTAAAATAAACACAACCTAAAATACAATCAAGCAAAAACGGTAGAAAACGTTCTCTCTACTATTCAGGTTTCATCAAGTGTTTTCTCCAAATCAGGACATCTAACCTGAGGGCCAGAACAACCTGGAATGAGTTGGTGAAGCCCTTGAAATTGTATGCAACACCCTGAAAAATGCAAGGTGGATCTTTTTCTAAGGACAGTCTATAGTTTCCATTACATTCTAACAATATGATAATTGCTCCCTTTTACTAAGATTTTACTATGTGCCAAGCATTTTATAGGTGAGGAAAGAGGCTCATAGAGGTTAAGTAAATTGCCTAAAGTCACCATTCAAGTAAGTAGTGGAGCTGGGGTTTGAACAAAGATTTGTTTGGTTGCAAAGTCCATGTTCTTCCTGCCTCCATGCCATGCAGTACTATCTTAAAGGAGTCTGTTTCCCCAAAAAGGTTGTGAACCACTGTCATAGAAGCTTCCTTTGAAGGGAATTGTTGGTGCTGATAACCCACCTGGGGAAATTAGGCTACCAGCTTCAGTCACTCCCCTTTTCACCACTGAAGGAACTGTGTAACACTGTAGAATTTCTCCTACTTCTGTCTTGGCTGTATGACATCTGAGAAAAAAGGGACAATATATGAATAAATACAAGAGATTACAACATGGCTAGCTTCAGCTTTTGTGTAATAAATTGGTATTTATGGTCCATAGAAGGATTATAACCTTTAAAAATAAATATTAATGAACACACTGCTAGGTTACAAATCTCAATAAATCTATTTACACATAAATTGTATGTATATGTATTTATATGTTCATGAGAACAAGGCTTTTGGGGAACATTTACTGAAAAACATGAACCCAACCTGGGTTTAATAAACAGGTATTCTCTATAGTTGAAGTTGTCTTAGGAATATTTAAACATCACAATGACAAATAACAACAGTAAAGTTGGTAGTCATTAGGAATTTAGTTCTGGAGTAATTTTTAAGCATCTTTTCCTTATTTTTAAAAATTATAAATGCAATACATATAGTCGTGAATAAAAGATTTAAACAACTTCATATCTTGGGCATGAGGGGTGACAATCAGCTTTGTATCTCATGCATATTCATAACCAATAAAAAAATAATAAAATAAAAATATACTAAGTATAAAGTAAAACCTACCCCCCATCCTCTTCACAGAAGTGTCTATTTATATATTTTTTCTTTTGGTTTATATGTGTGTATATGTGCATGTAGGTTCATGGATGTATATATTTAAAAAACAGAAATAATATATACACATATACATATTGTTCTACAACTTGGTTTACTTAATATTATCATAGACATAAGTACATTTAGAACTATCTTTAGGGCTATATATATTCCATTGTACAGATGTAACATAATTAATTAAACTGACCCACCATTGATGGGCATTTAAGTTGCTTCCAATTTTTTGTAGTTATAAATAATGCTACAACAACTTTCCTCATACATACATATCGATGTACTTGGGTTTGCAATTTCATAGGATACATTCCTAAGAGTAGAATTTCTCAGTAAAAGTGCATAAGCATTTTACAATTTTAATTGATTTATAATTTTTACTCATTATTTTTATTAATTTAACTATTCATTACAATTAATTTATTGTCAAATTAATTAATTTGAATTAATAATTAATTTAGTCAAATTAATAGATATATGCAATACAAAAATTTTAAAAATACATAAAGGTATAAATCAAAAGTAAAGGTTTTCCTTCACTTTATATCCCTTACCCCAAGTGCCTCTCCACAAAAGTAATAATTGTTAACAATTTCTTATGTATCCTTTGAAAAAATGTGAAAACTTGGGTTTACATGTAAGTATTATTTAAAATTTTTTTTTCACAGTTGATATCATAAATAAATGCGTAGTCTTCTGTATATATTTTTATTTAATAATAATATATTTTGGAGCTATTTCCAAATCAGAAAATATAGAGCTACCTAATTATTTCGGGAGGGGGCTGTTGAATAGTATGATAGAATAAGGGTCTGCTGTAATTTAATTTACTCAAAAGCTCCATCTGAAAGACTTTTAAGTTATAGCCAGTTTTATCTATGACGAAACGCTACAGGATTTTAAAAAGTAATGGGTGGTGACAGAAATGTCTTGAAGTGATCATTAGGGACTGATCACAAGCTGAAGTTCCTCTCTAGGTATGGTGAGCCTAATTTCCTAATCTCAGCTCAGACAGATGATGCAACAAAGGATTTGTTCTGACCTGTGAATGTATAAAGATGAAGAGTCTTCCAAAGACATGGAGATTATATTACTGTTAGTTATACATTTGAGAATTCACCTCTATTGAAAGAATGAAATAACATAAATTGAGTCCATCCTGGGAAATCTACGCTATATCAAAGCATAGGGTTTCTGTATCTGTGCAGTCATTTATTTGCAGAGGTTAATAATTGATCTAATACTCCAGCTGCTTTGAATTATTTTATGAACTGACCATTCTTAAAATATGCAGAGACAGATTACATACTTTATATACTTTCTAAATGCCTCTGTTTGGCCCATTATTAATCCCTCTATCCACTTATCAGCTCTGATAGGAAAGGTTCCATGGTGATGGGCTTTACTAGCTAAAAGGCAATTTGGTCTTGCCCTTGTACGTCAATTCTCTGTGCTACCCTCGTTTTTCATCATGAAAGATAAGCATGAACTGTCTGTAGTTCGCTCAAAGCCTCCTGATTTGTATTCTCCTGCACACGGTGACATTATCCTATAGACTGAGAAGGAAGCTCTAGCCTCTATCACAAGTCATTTTTCATGTCCTTTCCTGGAAACTGAAAGTTTTTTCCCTCATCATCTTAAAGATACTCATTTTATATATTTTTCTACTCCACAGGCAGATCTGTCTGTAGCAGTTTCTGGTCACCAGTATCTTTCACAAATTTAATCAACACACTGAATTATATTTACAGAGGTCACAGCTGGAAGAAAAACCAGATGCAATATGTGAGCTAGAACAACACACAGGTTTAATATGAGGTGATATACCCAAATCACAACCTGAGTTTGATACCTTAGCAAATGTTCTACTTAATATTCTGTCAGCAGGTACATCTGCAACAAAATGCCTCATAAATATTCAGCCACTCTATACCTCTGTTCTCCAGCTCCCAATGATTACAAATACAATTTTGTCTAGAGTGAAGGAGGAAATGGCAATTAAGCCCACAGGCCCCTGCGGATTAGCATGGATTATCCCCACTTTAAAATACAGAGAGAGCAAGGCTCATGCAAATCATTTGTGCGAGTGACCACTTGTTCACAAACAGGAACAGAATGAATGTGGCAAAACCTGTTTGTGAGCCCTCCAAAGATGGAGGCCTGACCTCATTGCTTTTCCAGTACCTCCAGCGCAAATGGATGTTCAGTTATCGCTCGACTACCTGCACAGTACAGGCTTTTGCGTTTGCTTTCTTTACCTAAATTTTTTATTGACGTAATTGTAGACTCACATGCAGTTGGAGATTCCTTGTGCACTTTGCCTGGTTCCCCCCAATGGTAACATTTTGCAAAGCTATAGTGTAACAACCAGAATATTGACATTGATACACCCCACCAATCTTATTCAGATTTCTTTCGTTTTACTTGTACTCACTTATGTGTGTATTAAATTCTATACAATTTTTATCATCTGTGTAGGTTTGTGTATCCACCACCACAATGAAGGTGCTGAACTGTTCTAAAGCACAAGGATCCCTCACATTGCTCTTTTATAGCCATACCCACCTTTCTCCCCCACCCTACTCCATTTCCTGCATCCCTAACCCCTGACAATCCATCCTCCATTTCTAAAATTTTGTCATTTCACAAATACTACATAAATGAAATCCCACATTATGTAACCTTTTAGGATTGGCTGTATTTTTTCTTAGCATAATTCTCTGGAGAGTCATCCAGTTTGTTGTATCAATAGTTTGCTCCTTTTCATTGCTGAGTAGTAGTCCATGGTATGAATGTACCACAGTTTGTTTACTATTCACCTGTTGAAAGACACCTGGACTGATTCCCATATCTGGCCATTACAAAAAAAAAAAAACTGCTATGAACATTTGTGTGCAGGTTTTCATGTGAACATAAGTTTTTATTTCTCTGGGATAAATGCTCAGTGATGCAATATCTGTGCTGAGTGGTAGTTGCACATTTAGTTTATAAGAAACTTCCAGACTATTTTCCAAAGTGGCTGTACCATTTTACATTCCCATCAGCAAAGTATGAGTGATCCACGTTCTCTGCATCCTTGCCAGCATTTGGTGTTGCCAGTATTTTTTATTTTAACCATTCTTGTACATGTGTAGTCATATCTTATTGGGGGTTTAATTTGCATTTCCCTCATGCCTAATGATGTTGGACGTCTTTTCCTGTGCTTATTTGCCGTCTGTATATCTTTGTCAGTAAAATGTCTGCTCAGGTTTTTTGCCCTTTTTAAAAAAAGATTAAATTGTTGAGGCTTTATCGGGGAGGTACAAATTTTGCATTTAAAAAAAATTGGATTGTTTATTTGTTTTACTGTTCAGTTTTGAAAGTCCTTTATATATTCTAGTCATTTGTTAGATATGTCTTCGGCAAATATTTTCTTTTAGTCTGTAGGTTGTTTTTTTATTTTTTAAATTCTTTTTACATGGGCTTTCACAAAGCAAAAGCTTTTAATTTTGATAAAGTCTAATTTGTTAATTTTTTTGTGGACCATGCTTTTATTTATTTTTTTTTATTTTTTTATTTTTTTAGGTGCAGTTTTGTTTTTATTTTTTTATTTTTTTATTTTTTTTTTATGACATTTCTCACAGAAATGGAAAGAACTATACAGTTATTTATCTGGAATAACAAAAGACCACGAATAGCCAAAGCAACGCTGAGCAAAAAAAATAAAGCTGGAGGTATTACTCTACCTGACTTTAAACTATACTACAAAGCTATAATAACCAAAACAGCATGGTATTGGTATAATAACAGAGACTCTGATCAATGGAATAGAATAGAGCACCCTGAAATCAACCCACGCACTTACTGCCATTTGATCTTCGACAAAGGCATCAAGTCTATTCACTGGGGTCGGGACTCCCTCTTCAGCAAAGGGTGCTGGGATAATTGGATATCCATTTGCAGGAGATTGAAACTAGACCCATATCTCTCACCTTGTACTAAAATCAACTCAAAATGGATTAAGGATTTAAATATACACCTCGAAACAATAAAACTTATTAAAGAAAATATAGGAGAAACCCTTCAGCAAATAGGGCTGGGCACAGACTTCATGAATATGACCCCAAAAGCATGGGCAACCAAAGGAAAAATAAACAAATGGGACTATATCAAACTGAGAAGTTTCTGCACAGCAAAAGAAACAATTAACAGAGCTAAAAGACAGCCAACAGAGTGGGAGAAAATATTTGCAAAATACA